CTGTGCGCTATTTATCGTCCTATCAGAGGGAATCGTTCGTTTTAGCTTTTCGACAGATATATGGCAAAAATCATACGATGCTTTGACCAAAATACTTATAAACGCCTTTAAAAAATATGATCTGGCAGTACACAAAATAACACATATTGTTACGGATGGTGGAAGCACCTTTTTCAAAGCGTTTCGAGTTTATGTCATTTATGCAATACGAAGGTGAATTTATCGAAATTTCTCGAATGCAATCAACTTGATTTCAATGGGCGTGCAATGGAATTTTATAACGAAGAATTGGAATATAATTTTGACGAATCGGGTCATGAAATTGATCATTTTCGCTACCGATTTTTTAAAAAATAAAGATAAGATACCAAAAAAGCCAAAAGATAAGATAAAGATAAGATGATTTTTTAAGTTTCTAAAAATCTATCTTATCTTATCTTACTATCTCAAACGAGATAAGATATCTTTACCAAACACTGGTGGTATCCAGCAAAATGTCACCAAAGAATAAATTCCGAAACCACTATATAAATTACTAATCTAGCTATTCCACTAATCCAAAAATTCCTATTCCATGCACTGTTTCCGTCAAAAATGCTAATTCTGATATTCCCCACTATTCCACTAATCCATCAATAAACGTCAAAAATGTCAAATCGATTTGAAGTGAAACAATTTTCGCTATTCCACGCGAATCCATTCACAGACGTTGCTATTTCATTGCAATTTCTCGAATCTTTACCCTAAAAGTCTAATCCTACTCCACGTGTCAATTTTAAAATTATTCATTTTTAAACAACCGTTTGTGATATTTTATGAGCCTGTAGCCCTAGGGGGTTCCGACTTAAGCGAATGATCCATATGCGAGCGAATTTTTCCTATATATTTTGCAAATGTAAACGAATGGTCGCAAATGTTTCTTACAAATTTTGCGAATGGTGGCGGATGTTTCATACAAATTTGCGGACGGTGTCGAATGTTTCATACACATTTTGCGGATGGCGCATATGAAAAGTCATATTTTTACATTCAAAAAGTCAAAGTGACAGATTAGGTGACAGAGATTCAAGCCGAATTGATATTTTTTTGGTAATATTGAGTGAAATTTTTCTAAAATGGTAAATAAATCTTTGCCACTCGTAATATTATCACTGTTAACGGTGCCTTGTGAAAGGTTTTTATTTTCATTGACGTAACTTTCAATTTCTTTTATATTATCTGAATTTATTTCTAAAATCTCACTTTTCGAATCGAATACGGCTTCTAAAATAATATTCAACAAATAATCTTGTATTTTTTCTTCAACTGTTTTTCAAATTTAGTTGAGAACAATGACATTGTGTTTGAAACTTCCACGACAAACTGAACACAGCAATGTGTATGTACAAATGTCACACGACAGTTTGTCGCATCTAGCAAGACGTATGCGGCATTCGTGAATGGTTGCGAATGAAATGTACGAATTTTCATAGATGTTAATGCGGATGAATATACTTTGCTTCGTATATTTTATGTATGAATAGGACAATGTTCATATATTCCGTATAAAATGGCATTCGCATATAGTAAAATGCCCCTTGCTGTAGCCATGATCTGAACTGAAGTTTCGATTTTTGAACAATTCAAGAAAACCAGTCAAAAATTAAAAGGCGAATGTGAATAGCTCGAAAAATGTCAATTCCTTATTTTCCAGTTATTTATCCAACGATATTTAAATGTCCATATGTTGCTTTTCATGTTTGAGTACTTGGAATTTAATGAGACTTTCGAATATTTTGATGAAAATTCTGACCAGACTAAAAGTCATTAAACGAAATGCGGCAAACATTTTCCGGGCCCAGTTTAAGAGTAGTCTCTATTCAGGGCCAGATTTTCGGCCGATTTGAAGAAATTTGAAATTTCAAAAAGGCTGCTACAAAATCTTATTGGACACTACAAAATAGTCTCATACATTTTAATAAGAAAATATCAGTATTCAATTGCATATAGTCATAGAACATAATGAGCTTTTTCACTTTCCCGTTTGCTTGCGCCATCTGTGGAAAAGCGATATCGTTATTTCTACGTTGATTATGAGTAAAACTTCCTTTCGCTTCAGAATGAAAAGTCTATGGATTTTTATTGAATGTTTCACTTTCATAACATTGATGTTGTACTGGAAATAATTTTTCAAATGATGATTAAGCCGTTTGCTTTCATTCCTAATTTCATTTTGATGATTGAACCAAAGTGTTATTCGTCGACGAATCGTCGTTGATGAACTATATTTCTTGCTCGTGTACCATCACATGTAGCATTGCTTTTTTTTTTGTAAATCGGTGGCTGTTATTTAATTAAAAAAATGGCGATATGTTGAAACATTCATTAGCAACAAATACTTGAAAAGTTCACTTGGTAAAAATCTTTTGAATCGAAAAATGAACGTGATGGTGTTAAATGTGATTAAGGTCTATGCATTGCTGTGGACTATAAAAGAAGCTACTTTTGGTCTCGAAATCTAATACAAATTGGTCAATTAAGATCCAAACAAATTAAATGATAATAATTGATTTAAAAAAAAACATTATTTCCAAAAATAAAATGAATGCAATTAGACACAGATAAAAATAGATATTGTTTGTTGATTGACATCAGCAAGAAATATAACTGCGACTCTATGAAATGTATTTGATTTTTCGTAAGTTCAAATTCACACACGCAGATGCACATATCACATCATTCGTGTCAATTACACTAAATCTATAATAGTATTTTTTTTGTAATGGTGACGTCCAATGAAGTATTATTCGATTTTGAACACGTGGTATGGCAAAAATAAAAATACATTTTTTCGAAGTTCGCAATTGATTGCAGTCGTTACATATTTGCTCCGTTGCTATAGCAAGCCCAAAAAGAATAAATATAAGAAGCTACACACAAATGACAACTAACCTCAATATGAACAAAAATTGACATAAAACTCAATTTATCCGAAGTCTCAACCGTTTTGGGATAAATTTTAGTATGCATTTTTTCCGCTCAAATTCCAAAGGGATATATGTTAAGCACTTAAATATTTGAGCGGAAAAAATCTGAACTAAAATTTATCCCAAAAACGGTTGAGACTTCGGATAAATTCAGTTTCATGTCAATTTTTGTTCATATTGAGGTTAGTTATGATTTGTGTGTACATCATTCGAACTGAAATTCTATATTGTGAAAGTTTGTTAAGATATATTCTTGTGGCACCCTTGAGAATTACAACTTCTATTGCTTACGCATGATTTCATAAAGTTACAACGACAAAGTGATAGAATTAAATGATATTGATCGTCACTAATAGGATTTGTGGTCTCTGCGACCTGCGACGCATATCACTATAAATTCCATATGAAGATATCGTGGCGCTTAAACATTCATCAACTCATCCTACATGTGAATCGATGCGATGAAAAAATTTCTTCTGAAGTTATTTCGTATATACATGTTGCTGAAACAAAATAATAATAATATGTATGCAAAGAAAACTGATCATCTCTTTGCCAATTATATTTTTTCTGACATTCCCTTTCACTTGAGATGAATTTACGTGTATTTTGGTGTCAACTTTCGATTTATAGAACTCTTGAAATGCTTCAACTGACTGGAGTGGGAGGGGGTAAATTAGCTAAGAGCTCCTTTTCTACCATTCAGAATTAGCACTTATTGGTGTTAGAATTGGATTTGAAGAATGCCAAGGAATCATTTTTTCAATTATATCCTACGTATGAAAGTAATTTGGATTTTCTCTTAGTTCGAAAATTTGGCATTGTACACAATTAAGATAAATGTGAATGTGATTTGGAAAGTAGAAATTATCCATAAAAACATCAAAAATATAATAAAATTCACACAACCCGGCAATAATTAGAATGTCATGTAACTATAACGCTCTCGCCGGTTTGCGATACATTTTTCTAAATTGCTTACTCTAAGGGAAAAGAGAGTGGACAGAGTTCAAATGAGAAATATTCATAACAACACACATCTACGTTGTCATAATGGACTTTCAAAAACTGATAACATAACAATTTAAAATATCCGCGAACATGTGAAGGCGTCAATGTTCCATATGAATCGTATTTGTATGGAAATATTTCGGGGTATTCAGTAGACGGTGTTAGGTTCTTCCATTCAATTTTCAAATGTGGGTTTGTACTTAACGACATTTGATTGAATTTAATATTATTGCTGCATCACGCACGAAATCATAAAAAACATCTCTGAATCATCAATGCAAATACGCAAACGATGGCTGTTTACATTCGCAAAAGCCAAAAAGAAATGAACAAAAATGCGAATTCTTACTTTTTTCTTGTTTTGTTTAACTGTTTTTGTGTGACGTCAGCGATGTGTTTGTTCAAAACCTAAACCAATAAATTCGTTCGCATTTAATTGATGACGGTCAACAAAAACTGAATATGTTTCAGGTATTGACTTATTTTCATCTCAAGTGAAAGTAAATTGAAGTAAATCTCTTTTAAAAAAAATATGTTTACTTGAATATTCCCAATGTGTTTTTTTTACTACTGTTTGTTTTTGTTGTTGTTGTTCATAAGGAACGCATAATTCACCGATACATAAATATGCTGGCCATATGCTCAACGTGCGATGGAATTCGTTACATGAATTTTGCGCAGAATCCTGGAAACAACAACGACAACGACGGCGACGGCGGCGACACTTTGGATGTTTTCTTCCTCTTGTTGATTCCGATGCCATGCACACAGCATCCAGTCCATCCGCATCGTTTGCTTGATTTCAATCGCTTGTCGTACCGTTGCGAATTGCATGTGCGATTCAATTTCGTGAGTGTATCGCGTTGACTATATATTCAATTACTCGCATCTGAAGTCAATCAGGATTTAGCGAGCTCGTGAATTGAAAACACACATATCAAACTTATCAAGTGAGTTTGTGAACATTTTTACGCCTCAACTCGATCCCATCAATTGTTAAACAATTGAAGGAAGATTGTGTATACGTGCTACGGCATATAATTTGAATGAAAACCGTTCGTTTTGAATCATTTTTACCCTTGTGGAAAATTTGTTTAAAAAAAATATAATCAGCTTATAAAAGTTTCAATCGTATAAAAGTTTAACAAGCAAACCAAGGAAGAAAAAATTATAGTGAAAACCAAGTTCATTCAAAAGAGATTGTTCTATGTGATTCTTTATTCTCTACCCACATACTGTGAAAAAATTGTCCGAGAAAGTTCTTAACGGATTTAAAGAAAGTTTAAAAAATAAAGTCTTTAACAACAAACTCATTTCTGTAAAACTTTTTGTGCATTGATGCAAAATTGAACAAAAAAATAAATAAACATAATTAAAAGTATTCAGTTTGCATTAAGAAACCAAGGGAATTTTAATGGCGCTTGAGGTTCATTAAAAATAAATCATTCACCAAAGGGAATATTTAAAAAAAAATATGAATAAATCTTAGTGAAAATTACAGAAATGATAGCACGTCATACAGCGTTCTTATAACATATTATTTCGACTATTTTCAAGCATCGTTCACTTCATTCGGTTGCAATAAAATTCACGAAGAATTTCAAACATTTTTTTATGAAGAAAACGATGATGAGATCTTTTTACGCCAGCAGTGAATAGTTGAAATTACTTTTGCATCGAGGATTTTTCGATAATGCCACCCGAAAGAAAAATCTTAAATAATTTCACAATTGAGTTTATTTTTGCACTTTTCTTCCCACATTTTGGGATGGATTAGATGATATATGTTCATATTTTTTCGGTGCCTTTGCAACCGACGATATATGATGATAATGAAGACTAAGACGACGATTAATTAAAGACCATCAAGCAATAACTCAACTTTGGACAGCTTTTTATTAACTATTAATTAATAAAGAGCAACTTAAGGAAATATTTTATAGTCGATGGTGATAAGCGTTATATTTTACACGCGCAAAAAAAAGTATCATATACTTGGATATGATTTAGAAAACGATGAAAACCAAAACCAATCCATCTCTGAATTATATTTATGCAAAGTCAATTAATCAAAATAAATCGCACGCACACATGATTTCTTTTCAACAGAGCATACCGCCAGATAAATTTTTTCAACGATAATCGAATTATCCGAATAATTTATCAGATACATCAAAATGTACCAAAGATTTTGTAACATTTATTGAATGGCAAACACTTCTAAACACGTCTCAATAAATGTCATTCAATCCAAATTTATCCGATAAATTATTCAGGTGGATCCATCATCATTGATAAATTTATTTGACGGTATGCCGTGCTTTAAAATGATGTCTGTTTGTTTATTTATTTGTTTTTTTTTCTCTTCTTCTGTATATAGCGACAATAACTGTAGAAAAATTACAATAATCAACATGTGTGGGAATCCAATCATCAATTTTTTGCTTTGCATTTTTATGGTAACAGCTCTTTATATTGGCAAGGTAGGCATATTTACTTACCAATTAAGATACGCATTTCTTTAATAGAGGGAGATGAGCGGAGGGAAATGGAATGGGAATGATAATAGAAAAATTATTTGAACGCAATTCGTTCAATATCATAAAATCTTAAGTATCGACATATTTTGAAATTTCACTCAAAATAAGCGGAGCCTAAAATATTTATTATTTATTCAGCTAAGGAAGCCTTATACTAATTCATCTTATTAAAATAGCCAAGAATATCAAAAAGATATTGAACTTTAAAAAGAAAATATCTCAATGATAAAGTTTTGTAAAACTTCTGATTCATGAACCAAATCTCTTTGCTGAATAGTGAATACATACCTCTGTGATCAAGATAAAATTCATTTAATTTTTACGTTTCTATTCACCATCATTTTCAATCAGGTTGGAAATGATTTTATTCGGTGAATGGATTTGTTTGCGACATTTTCCATGTTGCTAAATATGATGAAAGGGAATTATTCCTTCTTCTCCACGAATTTCTATAGAATTTGTAAAGAATGTTGAAGGCAACAACTGCATTCCAACCCTCACATCTAAAAGTTTGTCATTCGAAGTGTAGAAAATATTCAGTTGGGAACATTCAAGTGTTGACGTTTCCTTTTTTCTCAGTGTATTAAAAGCCAATTGCTCTCTTCTGAGAATTTAATTAAAAAAATCCTTTTCCTTCTTGACTCGTAGTTTTTAAAGTAAATAATTGCAATCTATGTTGAATAAAAAATGTCATGGATTTTCATCATGCGTTAGTAAAACTTTTACAAAGGTGTCCACAAACACTGCACGAATTTTAAAAAGATCAAATGTTTGAATTGTTCGTTCGTTATTCACATTCTCAAGAATTGTCTCACTGTTTCACAGTAACAAACTGCTACAAATCGCTCAATCTCAATTTAAAAAATTTCATTCCTGTAGTTTGAAAAAAAAAAAAAAAAAAAACAGCAGACACATACAAATGTATGATAAGTGAATTCCTTTTATCCATTCTTTTTATATTTGCATTACAAATTCGTACCCACCCTCAATTTTTTTCACATTCAATATTTCGGAAATGAGATCTATAGCCAAGTGAGTTTGAGCTTTGCCATCCATTTTTCTCATCAAAAAAGCTTATGGAAGAATCAAAAGTATATTTGGAAGACAAAAAAAAACACAATTCAATTCATTTTCCTCAGCAATAGTATGCCTATTTTCTTTGAATACAAAACGCAAAAACATCCTCAAAGATTTTTCATCCCCCACTCACTATCACATTCAATAGCCATTGTGTATATTTTCGACATTCGTGAAACATATTCTTATTTTCGTTGTTTTTTTACAGAATTTTTATGAATTATGTCAATTTTCGTTCGAACTTGTTCAATGCGTAAAAAATGGAATGCGCCATGTTTTCTGAGAGATAAAAAAACTCTTTGTCGGCTTCAAACATGTGCGCATTGAAATCTCATTACTAGCTAGTTATTTTAATTTCCTGTATTTTACACCCGGTCGGGAGGAAGAAAGCGGAATTTGTCGGCAAAATCTAATTAGTAAAAAATTTTGAACAACAAAAATAGCACGAAAAAGAGAGAGAAATCAATCGGAAAACTCTTGTAAAAAAGGACAAATAATGTCAAATGAAATGATGAATATTACCAAAGAAATTACGAGATTTTATTCTGTAAGAGGCTGAATGTGTGGGGGTTAATGCTGCGTTTGAAATGGTTGTGAATTCAATATAATATTTCTATGTTCATATGTTCTAATAATATGGCTTCAAGTAATTAGTTGGACAGAAGCCAATCAATCTAAATTAGGTTTATTCTGCTAAACTTCTATAAACACTTAATTATAATAATTTTGTTGGACGAAGAGCGAGTAGCTCTGAGACTGGGTTATAATTTTATATCACTGTAATTAGAGGTAACAATGACTAAAACGTTTTACAGTGAACGCATTCGGCCCATCGTTTTTCGACTATTAGGTTACGACGAGAAAGAGAGAGAGAGAGAGAGAGAGAGATAGAGAAGCCGAAAGACTTGAAAGCAGAGCAATCACAGTCGCACAGAATCAAAGACGTATGATGCTCAGTCCATCGAACCATTAACTTCTGTTTTTCTCGCGCTATTCGAAAATGAAATTACCACATATGTTTACCTAGTAAACGTCCTGCATAGGATTGAAAGAAGCCGAAACATAGAAAAGAAAACCGAAAAACAAAGCAAAAACAAAAGAGACAAAAGTAGAAGAGAATTGAAGAGGAAGAGAGAGAGAGAAGAAAAGAGAAAACACAGTGGAGAAAACCGACAATAAAAATTATGTTTTCTCAGTGCACACAACATATGTAATTATATACGTATTAACACCAAATCACACAATCATACAGCAGTAACATTGATAAGTACACAGATGCGCCACTTTATCGTGCGGAAGGCGTAAACCACGTAACCCGAAGATTAATCGATCTTTTTTTCTGTTCAGGTCTGATCACGGTGTGTTTTTTTTGTATTTTCTTTTTTGTTGCACAGCACATTTCTCCAAATCTAGAACCATTTCTTTTGGCAAAAAAAATCATATAGCCTCAAACTTTCTTCATTTTTTTAGAAACTAAGGGAAAATACGTTGTTTGCGCTATATGTTTTTAATGTTTTGATTATTTTTGAAAGAAATATTGCCGGAAGTTCGCGTGAAATATTGCCCTTTCCTCCTCACTCACAATTTCGACAAAAACGTAATTTTTTGTCAAAAATTATTTCATAAATAATTGACATTTTACCTACCAGTCGTTAGTTTAATAATAAAATGTATTCTTCGCGTTTGAATTCACTGAGAAACCCCATTTACATTGTAAAATCGATTTTTGGATTAAAAAGTTTGTTTTTTTATACAGACGTTAAGTCAGGCTTTAGAAAATTCGTATACAGACTAAGGTAAAACCGTTAGGGATGAAATCCTATTCATTGAACAGACAACGCGGTGCCGACAAAGAGAGTCCGTTCGATGTAAAAGCAAAATCAAAACAATCACACGAAAATTAATTGGAAATAGTGCAATGAAAGGAGAAAAAAAAGTAACATTTGAAAAATGATTAGATGTCGTTTACCTGTTACATACCAAACGAAGAGAATGGGAGTTTTTTTTTGTTGGCTTTGTGAATCCAAAACTATACGCGAAATAATGTTATATTAAAATTCCTCAATTTATCATATAAAAAGGCTGGCATGAGTGGTTCGGTTGGTATCTCCTGCAAACAGGAAAATGATTTCATTTATTTATCGCGAACTGCCTTCTCTCTCTCTCTCTCTCTCTCTCTCTCTCTCCCCATTTCAAAACATTTGAGCTCTGTGTTCCCATATTCAAGTTTCTTTTCTCGTTTCGTTTGATTCTTCTTTTTTATTTTTGATAATTGTGTGATCATTATCCGTCCAGCGCTTCAATTCTTGCCTTTCAAGTGGCGGCATGGTGCTGTTTCTTTACACGCATTTTTTGTATTCATGAAAAAATGATTTATTACAATTTCGGCTTTCTCGGTGCGTCTCATAGATACATACACAGTTTTTTCTTCGTTTTCCGTTGTTCACGTTTTTAATTCATTTGAAAAGTGCACAAAACTCAGACCGACAGGTAGCATCTGTTTCGGAACGTCTTTTTTCCTCTTTACTTGTGCTATGAACATGAACTTTTTTCGGTCATATCTGGAGCACAAATTTCGACATCAAAGAAATGTTGAATCCGATTTAACTTACCATCGAAATAATATTTTTCATTCTATATGACGATCAGTCAAGTGCAATATGAGCACGAATCATTTCAAATTTTAACGAACTCCAAAAATTACGATTTTTCATTTGAATTTAATAAAAAAGAAAGCAATTGTATATTCGACGCATGCTTGGATTCTTTCGACAACAATATATGTTTTTTTTTTCTTTTTTTTCAAAATTTCAGCGGGACAACATGTCGCAAAAATAAATGAGTGCAATTTTGGTAGTTTGGTAAACAATATTGATGTTCCTGTTATCGATTCAGTCCGCCACAGTGATGAATCGATTTCATGGAAAACTACAATGCTCGGAAAGGTTAGAATGACGACAAAAAAAATACTAAGTTAATAGGTATTACGTGCTATAGCCCGCATGCTATATACCTGTACTTAGTAAAATGTCAAATGCACGCGTATTTCCGTTTATTTTCCCATTGTTTTCCATTTTAATCGTTATTCGAACTATTTAGTAAATAACTTCGAGTGCGAATTGCCACTGCACATTTGTTAGAACAAAAGATGTTTTGGGTGCGCATTTATCACGCGAAAAGTAGAGAATCTCTTTGTGTACCATTATTGTCAAATGTGCCATACTGAGCAATTGTTTGTATTGTTCCCCTTTCACCATTTCAATAACGATTGTCTTATTTTAATTGGGAATTTTCTTTGTTGTCTTTACATTTAAAAAAAACGGAGAATGTTCAGAATGAGTTTTGGTATTGATGTTATCGCAAATATTTCATCAATCTCGCTTCTATTTATACATTTTATTACATTAATTTTTGAATTAAATTTAATCGGACAGCGACAAGTGGAGATATACCACGCGTCGTACATTATTTAAAGTAAAATAAATAAGAACACATAAGAAAAGAGAGAAAATAAATAACATACATTTAAAACAAAAACATTTTTCATTTATTCGTTTAATGGCATTATCCTTGGCACAGGTGCACGCTGAATACGATTTAAATGATTTGTCCGCATGCGAGCAGGAACAGATTGCACGACAAATATTTTATCCGAAAAGTGGATATGAAATGCATGTAAGCAAGTAATATTTTATAAATGTATATACACAGAGAATAGCCATCACACCAACACCAACACTAACTAAATCTGATGCATTCAATCCAAAATTATTAGGCCAACGCACTGAGGAATCAGTTGAAACAAATCATAGAAAATTACCTAATTGCAAATGATGGTATTCAGTATGTGGATGATGATAATCAACCCACTTATGATAGCATCGATTTGGATGCATTAGAAAAGCATGCGGCTGCTGTTCTAAAAGGTAAACGCAATGTGGCGGCAATGGCACGTTTGGGTCTAATGCGTGAAGCGACCAAACGTTCTCTTGCCAATTTGGCAAAAAATGGTCAGCTTCCCTCGCGTGAAACTGATGATGATGATTCGACCCCATGGAATAATGGTAAGAGAAACATTGGATCAATTGCACGTGGCGGTTCATTGAATGGTAAACGAAATGTTGGAGCCTTGGCCAGAGATTTTCTTTTACCACCAAATGGTAAGCGAAATTTACCGTCTATCCTTCGATCGGGAGGTGGAAGTAGCACCAGCAGCACACATGGTCCACATCAACCCAAACGAAATGTCGCTACATTGGCACGAGACAATCTACTTCCATACTATCAACAAAACAAGAATGAGAAACGTGACGTGACTGCAGCCAATAAAAAACGTAAGTTACTGCCAACAATTTCAAATCAAATAAATATGCATTTGTTTACCTATATAATAAAGTTATTCGATACATTTTGTGTGTGTACGGAATAAATTTGGTGTCATATGTGGGCCGAATTCGCATACTTTATACTTTATTAGAGTGGCTTAGTTTTTCTCTTTTCGAAATTTGATGCGCAAATTGATTTTTTGATTTAATGTTCAAGTCGGTGATGAATTTCTTCTCGTTTCTTGAGTCAAATAGACAAAAAAAAAAACTATTTACGCAATAAATGTCCCAAAAATTCACAAAAAAGCCACCCTAATACGTTATGTGTATAATATATAGATTTAATGGAAGAAAAACGCAACATCGGCTCTGTGAAGAATTCACAAGGTACAATCAAAGTGAAACGGGACACGTCCTACGATGATTTTCCCGACGAAAGTGAAATTGATGACGCTTATCAAGCCGCTCCATTCAATTACAATGACTTGAATGAACTCTATGCGTACTATGGAATGCCAGATATCTCAAATGAAAAACGTTTTCTAGGTAAGCTATTCATTTGTTATAGATTGACAAGATGTAGTCTTGATATTACATTCAAATTACTAACATTATTATGTCACATGGTTTTTCATTCGACGTGTACATATCCTACATACAATATAAAAAAACAACCAAAAGGTTCGATAGTTAATGATGGATGGTCATCATATGCATATCGTTCGCCATCTCAAAAACGAAATATTGGTTCATTAGCTCGTCAGGGTTTGTTGCGTTCCGATGTCAACAACTATTTAAATCAGAAACAGTATCGGCAACAGAGTGAAAATTTATATGAAAAACGCCATCTTGGTGCATTGGCACGATCTGGATGGTTGCCAGCATTTCGATCGATTCGTGGAGGCAGATTTAGCCGATCGGGCAGGGCGAGGTCTCGAATAGTAGGCTTTTATTAATTTCCAGTTTTTTTCTCTGTCCTTCCTGTCTCGTTATCGCTGTTTAATACATACGTAATGTTTAGAATATTTGTACGACACTCACTACATAGACATGCTGACACTGTTCTCGACTATCGATTCTTATTTTTATTTTTGATTTTGTTTTTAACATTCAATTCGATGTATTTTTATTTATTTATTCCATTCATTTGCTTGATGTTTGCGGAGGTGTGCGAATTAAGTTTCTCAAATAACCATTTTATGAAATCCAGATAAACTCATATAAATCCCTTGTAAACAAAATAAAAAAAAGAATTCTTTTCACTGAATGTACTCAAAGCAATCTGTCAATTTCAGTCAATGGTGAAATTCAGATATTTTGCTCTATCACTTTGGAAATATTCTGTTATTTTTAAAATTAACATTGTTAAACAGAACGATGTTCGAAATGTTCTCATAGCAAAACATATTGGTAATATAAATAGAAAATTTTACGGTTCGTGTTGACACACATAGCGCGCCAATCGACACTTGTCTAATTCAGTTTAAATGCATTCCAAATTTGAAATTCAAATTATGCAACATTGAATTTAAAATTATTTTTAAAAAGGTAGTTTGAAATTATCCCAAATTTTAATTTTGGGATTAAATGAAATGAACTATGAAAACTGGAAACTATGCACATAATTTAAATTCGACGTTACAGTGCTATATTTTTCAACGTTAAATTATATAGAAACGTTTTCTATGATAATTTCCATGTAATGAGCTGTCAATAGCAAACATTGAAAATGGCAAAATCATATACAGCATCTCGGAAAGGGTGTTCAGTAAGTCATTTATATCAACTCAGGCATATCGTAAGAACATTTTTGATTCGATTTTTTTTTCAAATTCGACATAAAAAATAGTCCATATATCCAAGCAAATATTTAGAGCTGTATAGCTTTCCTTATCAATTTTGCAAAGTTCGCCATTCATATGTTTCGATCGATGAGGGTTTTCTGTTTATTCACATTTTGTCATACACAAAGCCGAAATGTAAACTAAAAGTGTATGTCACCATAATATTCGAAGTGCGTCTCTGGTTTTTTATTTGTTTGTGAAAAGCCTTTTATCAATGTTACATTATTTGCAAAGTATTTGCCGATAAAAGACAAATCTATATTTCAATTATTGAAAACATAAAAACACAAAAAATAGTCGAGCGAAAATTACATTTTTCTGCTGTACATGCAATTCTCAAGGGCTTAATAAACGCGCCATAGTTCGAAAATAGTTGAACACTTATGCAATATGCAATGAAGTTCATGAATTCATTCTCAGGTCTATTGCGATGAAACAAAAACAAATTGAACAGGAAATAGAAAATGAGATGCGAAAATATCCGTCTTTTGACAAACAAAAGTGACAAAGGAGTTTCGAATTTTTTTCAGATGACATTGCAAACATTCCGGCAGCGTCTTATCTTTGTTTATAATTTTCCCACGAAAACGCTGTTGCGTTTACACGACTTTGCCGCAGTCTCGATTGGTGCGAGAAAAAAAAAAAGAGAAAAAGTCCAAAATTGATGTCATGAATGACTCTCCATATTCAAGAATTTAATTTCGGCGCTCATATACACAGTGAATGGCAAAGAATGTCATCTCAATAGCAACGCTTTGCTGACTGAAATCATTTTACTTGGATATCTTATGTACTTAAGCGCTTTTAATCAAACAAATGAGTTAACCAAGCTTAATGCAGTCGAAATATACCGGTGATCACAAATGAAAATGCGTAGATTGTTACAATTTCCTTTTTAAGGCACTATACTTCACACATTTATGCAAACCATAGACTGATTTGAATCGTAATTCAAAACAAATGAACATAATATTAAATTGTTTATGGTGATGATGCTGTAAACGGGAGTTTATTTTTTATTTACTCTATTTTTTTTTTGTATAATTTTATGTATTTCATTCAATTATTAATTTATGTGGTGTTTTAAATAAATGCACAAGTGTACCTCTAATATTTTCAAAGCAGTGTGCATCAATAATGCGGCAACATGAAATGTGGTGAATAATAACAATGATTGATGTAATTTTATTGAAATCAAATTATTTTATCGTATCCTCTGTTTAACTAACCATCAATTTAATATTCATTTGGGTGTTATTGTCCATTTGAATGTATAATTAGTAGTTGATTTCTAACATATATTACGAATTGTAATTGTTGTTCTTGGTACGTTTTTGGGTAAAATTGTCAGTTATTTTGTTGTTGTTGTTTTTGTTGTTGTAATCATTGTATGTGTGTGTGTATATGGAACTTATCTCTATTTTGACCATAGAGAAGAAGTTTATTAACATAGTTTCATCGTTCATTTATGTTTTTCTTTACATAAGTGGTCGCTGAATGCTACTGTTACATTCGGTATGTTGTATTTACCTGAATTTCATATGCGATACAGTTTTACTACCGGTTCATAGGTGATGACGAGGGTTCCCAGGTGTCGGATGACCCCCCTAAAATATTTTTAGGAACCCTCAACAATTTTGGAAATGAGGACCTTTTTTTTGCTCTTCACACTTTTTTTTGGCCGAGAAAATTCTTTCGATTTGCTAGGGATTTTCACCTCAAAAAGTGACTTCCAAGAAAGAAAAAAAAACGATTTTATCCTCATTTCGTACAAATTGTTGACATCGTCAGGGACCCCCTATGGATTTTTCCAGGAACCCCTTACAGAATTTTGCCATCACCCCCCCTAAAAAATTTTACGTCATCATCTATGCTAAAATACTTGAAAGTTGTGATTATGACCGATCATCATGTCAATTCCTGTTCATTGGTTATAAATTATTTCGGAATTGTAGTGAACTATGATGAGCTAGAACTTTTCAAGGATTTAAATGCAATATTTTTTGAATTTTCGATATGCATAAATAGATGTTTTTGTAGTTTAGATTAGTTTAGTTTAGCATCGAAATGTTGATATATTTGTTCATTTGACATATATGAGCGCCCAATTTAAGACTGAAAAAGAAATAATGCATACTATAATAGTTTTTCGCTCTAAAATTGGATCGCTTCATATTAACGTGAAAATTCAACAATAACATTATTTTGAATTTATTTTTTTTACCCTCGATAAAATCGAAAATCGTTTGTGGATTATCAAAAAAGGACGGATTTTACCACCAACCAGAGCGACAGCAACATCTTCAACCAATCGAAACCGCCGGTTGTGAACGATGTAGACAGCAACAGCATTCAATTCTTTCAAACACCATAAGTTGGGCAGCGCCGGGCTTATCGCAAATTTGGGGAACACCGTCCAAATTAAAAGCGATACAACAGCGTAGCTTTCGAGGTCCTTTTCATCCAAATGATGAATTATTTTAATTATCTTCAAACAAACACATACACACACAAACAAACAAACAAAATTTCCAATTAAATAGTGCTATAATCATTAGATTTTCTACTTTCAAAATTTGATCTTCCGATAATCATGACATTATGATGATGCCCACTCAACAGCATCTTACACCATGACAATAATATCAACATTCAATTTTACGATAATATCACGCTGATAAAATCAAACGTAAGCTTTAAACAAATAATGTTTTATTGAAAGAAGAAAGAAAGAAAAAATGAAAGAAAGAAACATATATCGAATCCAATTTACAATCAAAATAAACACGATTACGCCTGACAATAAATAAGTACTATATAGACAATTTTGATCAACTGTGTATATTCCACACAACTACATAAAGAAACATATTCGAAACCAGTGACAATTTAATATACTTGAAATAAATAATGAAGGAAGAGAAAAATGACAAAGAAAAAAATATATATATATATTAAAGTTAAACTCAGTGTATATGTTAATCAATGTAAAACAACTCAAACCGTTTTAAATGAAATATTAATATATGTTTTGATTCTAACATTCAATAGAAAAAAATCACAGAGTTAGATAGAAAGAGAAGGAAAAATGGATACATATTTTTTGAAAACACATCATTAAATAGAGTTGATGATGATATTTTTTGATGAAATGTTTATAAATAATGATGTCGATCTTAATTGCCATCATACATCGAAACCAACGGCATAATTTATTTTTGAATGAACGCATTTCGCATGGATAACATTTTTTATGAATGATTGGCTGGATTATTTATGCGAATGTGTGAATGGAATAAGTTCAAATTAGTTACATTTCTTGGAGAATATTGTTTCATTCTGATATACATATTTGTGCAAACTGACAATAAAAATCATATATAAACTATTAAATCTATACCGAAAAGTTACGATATATTTCATTTATTCGTAATTTTCAAATTGAATATAAGCTGATTGTGACAATAAATTTTCATATCAAAATTCTTTGAAGCTCACTTTACCTTTCATCTTCTATTTAAGAGTGAATACTTCGAAAGTTGTTTAAAAAAGATGTGTATGACAATA